TCTTCGTAATAACCTTATAGTATTACATTGACTAAATGTACTGACCTTCCATATCCTTATTTTTAAATGCATTCCTTTGGTCCAAGTTTGTTCTATTATCCTGTGCAGTCATAGTCATGTCTGTTCTTGTACTATACACAGTACCATCATATGACAATAATGATGTCGGTGAGACACGCGGTGCCATCACACTAGGTGATGTTGATATTGGCATTTTGGGCATTGCTGGACTTAAATCTTGCTCAGTCGGCCGATGTTGTACCAACTGACCCTGTTGTTGTTGATCATGTGGTTGTGATCGTTCAGGTGTTTTTGACTCGCAGTTTGCTGGTCTCCTGATAGAGGACGAAATAACAAAGATGTAACTATACATGTAGTAACATGCAATACTCCAAAAAATAAAAAGCTATTAAATTCAAAATTTGACTAATATTTTACACAATCATGGGCAAGGCAGACAGGTTTTAACACACCACCTAGTCATAATGTTTGACAAAATTTGTCATAAATCGCATGACAATATATTAATGTTCATTTATATATATATAGTTTATTATATACAATCATGAAGCTAATGTCCCGTAGTACAATGAAATAGCATTATTTTGTGTGTTACAGTAATGCTTTTTGAAAAACATGTTCTAATATTTCTTGAAAATTGCTATTTTAGAACAATTCCATAGAACACAATGTTAAATAAAAATTTCATTCTTTTTACACTTTTTAAAATCCAGATTTATTAAAAAATTCAGAACAACAAATAGTATTCCATCATTAACAATTTATGATTTTTTCAGCCTATGTCACCAGGCTAGATTTTGAGATACTGCATAATATCTCTGCCATAGAAACCTGTGGTAAAAGTGTTATAATAGTGTCAAAATGGCGACTTTCCACTAAAATACAAGCATCAATTTCTTGAAAAAAGGGCTGATGACCCCCAACTTTTTTTAGGTCAATATGCTTATATATTTATTGCAATATGAATAAATTCTGTTTTTTTTTAATTTATGAGTAGGCTTCTACCTTAAAACCTGACACAGCATTTGAGAAAATGACTGCAGTGAGGAGTGCCATTAGAACTGAGACATACATTTGTAGGTTACTGATATAGGACACTGACATGTACAATCATATTTATGTTTCCATAAATCAACTTGATAAATATTTAGTATTTGAGAAGTATTGTGGTACACTCACCTACACACCACAATAGGGAAGTAAGGACCCTGATCTGTCTTCTGTTCCAATGATGTGATAGCAGCTTCCAGGTCTAAACAACACTGATGACACTGATAAAGAGAAATATAATTGTATTAATTGTACTAACAGAAATATCATATTTCCCTTGGAATCTAAAGATTTTGAATAACCTTTCTCCAGTATATAACATTTTTCAAGTGAGTATGCATTTTTTTTTTACAAAGATTTATTAAGCTAATTAGAGTTAATATTCTAATGTTCATAATATAAAATAACTGATGTCACCCATAATTTGTTTGCTCAAATATTTTATGGTTCTGCATAAATTAGAACTCACTTAGTCTTTCAAGTTAATTTTTGTAATGTTGGATTAAATAATTTGAAAGATACCATCATGTAAGTTAGTCTTACCTCATACATATGATCCAAATAAGATCTGATTTCAGGTGATAACTTTTGTACACCACCAATGGACTCTAGACTGTAGGACACACCCGTGGGTTCTATTATACGCACACAGCCTTGTGTTTGATGTATCTTAGCACCTGAAGGTAACAACAGAAAAAACACTTTTAACACTAAAGTTAGTATAATTGGAAAGTTTTTCTTTAGCTGACATCAGAACATCTAGTTTGGGTATACCCAAGTACATGTAAGTTATAGCATTTTCAGTGCAGTCAAAATTCATGAACATCATTGTTTTGGATGCCAAGTCTGGTGATGAATGAGGAAAACTCATAGCCAATTTTAAAATATCCATTTCATGAATAGCTAGGAAGTTATTTTGTTATCAAAAGCTACTGCTGTTTTATGTACATGTAAACCTTGCATATTTGTGATGAAGACAAACGTCTGACTGTCTGATTCACTCAATTGCAGAACAATAGTCTCCACTTTAGAGCCACCACATCTATTTTATTAAACATCATATCATAACACACATACACATTACCTATTATCATATACTGGCACTAAAATGCTTAAAGGGCGACAGTCGTCATGCCGCGTCCTGTTCGATATGGGACTCATAGCGACATATACAACGCATGTAAAATACATTGTTTATTAACAACCACCGCGCTTTAAACACAAACAAAGTGACTGTGACAGCAAATGCCTTAATAACTTACCATTATAAAAACAAACTTCAAAGTCTGCCTGAGGAGCATTCTCCATCAACATGCACTTTGCTTGCTTGGAATAGAGAGTAACTTTAGGGGTTTTAGTTCTAACAAGTTGCACAAATTTGACAGCATACTGGTATTTCTTCCAGTATTTAGATGGTAAATCGTGGTAACTAAAACTTTTTGGATGGTTGGTTGATGGTGATGGTGGACACTCCTTGACTGGGAAACCTTTCCCTTTGTTAGGATGGAATATACAAATCTGTAAATAGAGACAAAATAAAAAATGCTATTATTTTTTGTATTTCACTCACCATAATTAAAAGAGTAACAAGTGCATTTAAATTTTTACTTGAAAAAAAAAAAAATTAAAAAAAATCCAAATAAATAAATAAATACCTGCATGCCATCATCAGATATCTTGTAGACTTCTACTACTTTTTCCTGATGTTCTCTTGACTTTAAAAACTCCAGACATACTTCACCATCTAGTATACTGACCTGTAATATGAAAACAGCATGATAATGATGAAAACCTGCATGCTTCCATACATTATTCACCACAATTGTGTTAATTTTGTTCAGAGTGATGCCAAAAGTGCTATAAAACATTTCTTGATGTCAATAATAAGAAGCACATATTTATTAACTGAAAAACAATCATTGAGAAAAGCAAAATGTAGTCATGACTACTCTTGTAAACACATGCGGAGGGTGGGTGAAATTTGTTACTTAAGGTAGAGATGCAGTTTACCTGACAGGTATTTTAATTGGTTAATTAGGAAACCAAGATGACCTCCCTTGTCCACAAAACTATATATTTTCGGAAAGCTTATTGTATGAATTTTAAAGTTTTGTTAGTATTTTATTTTTATGGACACTGTAGTTTGGAATATGCACAAAAATGTGCGTTTTTGGTCAAAAGTGATTTAAAAAAAATTAGCTTCTAAACCATGCTTCTGTTTCCTGTCAAAATTGGTTTATGTGTACATCTGTTTACTATGAAGAAAGTGCCGTCTTGAAAACTGTCTACCAGTTGTCAATTTTGTAGGGCAGCAGCTCAAATTTCACTACTTCAAGTTTATGCATAAATTAACACCCAGGCTAGTTGTCTGTACGATTGCAGTAACACTATTCAACTAAATGCAATGCCCCGACGGCGTTTTGAAGATAAACACATTGTCAATCATTTGTGAAAATTTCAAAACAAAAGATCAAAGCGTCTACGAGCTATTTTTTTTTAAGTTCTGGAATGTGCACTAAAAACAAACTGAGATAATTGCTAATTTGCATAACAATTCACTCAGTAAGAAGTTTGCTAATGCTCATAATTAAAATGGCTGTTACAGTTTCAAATTTAAATGTAATTTCGTTTTGTAATAAGTTAAATACAGTGCATAATATGGAGATCCCGTCATTTCTTTTTTCCCACCATGTTTTTTTTGTATTATTTATGTACAGCCTTGGTAAATCTTGCTAAGCATTCAAAAGAGATAATTTTGCACCAGTTATCTATATTTTAAAATCGTTTTTTGAGTATGTTCCACTATTCACAATTCTACAAACCTTCAACAGTCCATAGCCAAGACTTTTTGGATAATAAAAAGCAAAAAAAAAAAAATTCACTCCCAAGTGCCCACGAACCTGCATCTCTACCTTAAGGTAGAAGCCTAGTCATACTTTTTGACAAAATTGGTCATAAATTGCATGACAATGTTCATTAGTTTATTATGTATAATCATGAAGCTAATGTCCCATGGTACAATAAAATAGCATTATTATGTGTATTACACTTCAGCTTTTTGAGAAACGTGTCCTAATATTTCTTGAAAATTGCTATTTTTAGAACAATTCCATGGAACACATGTTAACATGTTAAAGAAAAATTGTATTTTTTGACACTTTTTAAAACCCAGATCTTTTTAAATAATTCAGAACAACAACAAGTACTCCATCATTAACAATATATGATTTTTTCACCAGGATAGATTTTAAAATACTGTAAAGGGGTTAATTATTCACTGGGTTTTAATTTAGCTTATTTCGCTGACTGTAAAAATGCGCTAAATTAAAACACAGTGAATATGTAAAATTTAGCATAGAACACATTATCTAAATGACGAAACCGTGAATTTAAAACCCACTGAATATGCCTGAAATGGTAACTCAGTGAATTTTAAACCCAGTGAAAATTAGTCATTTTACAGTATTGCATATTAGTAAGTGTTATAATAGTGTCAAACTGACGACTTTCCACTAAAATACAACAATAAATTTTTGAAAAAAAGGCTGGTGACCCCCAACTTTTTTTTAGGTCAATATCCTTATATTGCCTTAGAGTACAATTTATTGCAAAATGAATAAATTCTTGGTTTTTTAATTTATGAGTAGGCTTCTACCTTAACTATAATTTTGGTACAGCTCTGTTCCGTTTTTATGTATATTAGTTATATTTGGATCAGCAAATGTTTCTCAAATATTAAATCACCCACTGATTACTGGAAAATGATATACTGTGAAATACTTTATTTTAATTGGAATTAATTTTCGCTGAAAAGACATTTTGGGTGTTTTGTGTGTATTTCATTTTCACTGATTTTTGACGAGATGAATGTAAAATATAGGAAAAAAAAGTATATTCGGTGGATTTTATTTTTACTGAATCATTCCTTCAGCAAAAATAGCGAAAATTAATTCCAAGCGAAAATAAAGTATTCTACAGTATTTGTATCAATGCGAGATAAAGAAAACATATACACATTTCTGAATTTGGAGAGAATTAATAACCAAACTTGTTGTTGAAGAGATGATAGCAAAAGTAAAAAAAAGGATGTTCATAATTACAAATGGGCTA